CTTCCCTCCAAAGCACGTACACATTTCTTTTTAAATACAGATTCATCTTTGTATATTTCAAGCAAATGTTGTGCCTTGTCAATTTTGTGTGAGTGTTGAATTTTTCCAGCTTTCCTCAAATTGCTTGGTTCCTATTTGATCCATCATGGTTCTTCGTTGGTGCTACTTTGCATGTCTCTTTCTCTTGGTGGCTTTGAAACTAGAGCTAGCTAATGCTCAATTTTACCTAAATGACGAAGATGAACCCGTCACCTTCAAGACAATAGTTGTGGATCCATCTGGGAATGGAAACTTCATTACCATACAATCTGCTATTGATTCAGTTCCTTCCAATAACAGACGTTGGATTTTGATCAAGGTGGCGGCAGGTATCTACAGGTAAAGCTATTCTTCTCCATTAATTAGATAGGAAATCATGTACTGTATTATGTGTGCCTCAAATTATAATAATTTTATTGTCAATCCTAATTAAATATTTAAAAAAATAAAATATGATCAATTAGACATTTTAACCATTTTGATACAATTTGTTAAATGAATTATCAAATTGATACATTTTATCAAAATATGTGCGAGTTTATATCGAACATGGGGTACATTGTTGAGGAGTTTAATAGTGAAAATTGTGCACACCTCTTGAGTGATTTATAGTGCATCACTTAGCTGATGTTAATTCGTGTATGTGCAAAACTACAGTCCATGTGTGATTTAAATGGACATACCCTTGTGCATGTCTTGTTACATTATTTTTCAAAAAAATAAATAAAAAAATTTTGCTTTTGTATCAATTAGGTACTTTGTTTTTTTAAGTAGCATTAAGATTGTCAAAAGACCAATGATTTAAGAGATGATAAAAATAATATTTTTTATTGTGATTTAAAAATTATAATTAAAAGACGTTAATGAATTAAGTACGATAGATTATTGAGATTGTCAATTATTCTATCTATCTTTCAAATCTCAATGGATTAAGCAAAGTATGTTTTGTTTTTTTTCAGGGAAAAAGTGAAAATTCCGTTGGACAAGACTTTCATCGCACTAGTAGGAGAGAAAAATAAGGACACTATTGTTGATGGGAATGACCATGCTTCAACCGCTGAAAGTCCAACGATCGAATTCCTTGCTGACAATATATTTTTGTCAAATACATGAGTTTTAGGGTGAGAAATATTCTAATTGTTGTTTCATTTAAATCTGTAATGAAATAATATTAACTGTTGAATTATCTGGGTGAATCATGTGATGATGTTTAATTAAATTCTAATAATAACCATTTTTGTATCTTTTAATAAAGATTCCATTAAAAATGTATGTTTAGTTTTGTAGTCTTTTTTATTTCTTATCAATCCTAAGAGTATTGATTTGGGATAAAGTTCTTAAATTTGTCTATGCTGACCAGAATTCATACAACAATCCATTAAAAATTAATGACGTGGCAAGTGACATGGCACCTGCGGTATCTGCGAAGGTATGCGGTGACAAAATTTACTTTTATAGAGTTGGCTTTTTTGGTTTCCAAGACACTTTGTGGGACGAATCAGGAAGACATTACTACAAGTTTTGTACCATAGAAGGTGCTGTTGATTTTATCTTTGGTGCAGGCCAGGCTCTGTTTGAGGTAATAATACCCCTCTTTTTACTATACTTCTCTTTTCATTTTATTGCAAAAGATATTTTTAAAAGTTATTTTTTTCTCTTTTCACAAAAGACTGTCGAATGATGTAATAGAAAAAAAAATTAATATTATAATTATGTACTACCCCTAATATATAGTTATAATTGACAGCATATAAAGGAAATTTTTTACATCAACATGATAAGTTGAGCGAACTTACTTTATCTCTTAGTTCATGTTTATGCCTACATATTATGAAAATTATATTGATGTATGATTAGTTCTTTTAAATAAACTAGGGATTTGCAAAACCATGATTCTATGTATAATTTTGTTTGTTTGTTTTTTCAGAGGTGTACCATATCTGTTATTGATGCGTTACTGGGTCCAGATAGGCCTGGTTTCATCACAGCACATGGGAGAAATAATCCAAACGATGCAACTGGTTTTGTTTTCAAAGATTGCAAGGTTTTTGGAAATGGGAAAACTTACTTAGGAAGGCCTTGGAGAGATTACGCTAGAGTTCTTTTCTATAAGACCTATATGTCCAACATTGTAAAACCTACTGGTTGGGAAGCATGGCATTACGTTGGACAAGAGTAAATTCCCTCTTTCTTATAGTCTTGCTTTTTCAACCTATTTATATGAAAATATTTATTCATGCTCAACATAAAGTGATGCTAGTTTTATAGAACTTAACGTAAAAGTTTCTACTAGAAACGCTTGAATTTTAAAAGCATACGAAATATAATAAACTTGGAGAGTGTTATATTCACAAAAAAATTTTCTTGTAAACTTATAAAATACACCAAATCTGACCAGTCAGACATACTGTTCTATTACTGGTCAGATTTAGTGTAATTTGTAAGTTTGTAAGAAAAAAAAGTTTATCAATATAATTCCTCCCATTAAACTTATGTCTTTTAAAATTTTTTCCTATTGGGGTTTCTTTTATTTTCTCTGCTAGGGTATTAATGTTTTGATATAAAAATTGCAGGGATCGCGTAACATTTGCTGAGTATAAGAATTTTGGGCCTGGTGCTGACACGTCCAATAGAGTGAGTTGGACTAAGAAGTTGGATTTATCAACGATTAATAAGATGGCAAGTTTGGATTTCATTGACGATGAAGGATGGCTTTCGACCTTTGGAGTTTTCATTTCTGGATAAACAGCTTTGGAGTTTTCTAAAGATGATGTTGAATCCCGAGTACTAAATAAAAAGCTGGTCCATAAGACCATAACCATTGGTTTCTTTTATTTTGTTTTACCTTTTCTTTTTTAGATATATTCACGAGTTGTTAATTAATGTTGGAGAGACTCATAGTTCCAATTAATCATTTATTTATTTGATACATGAGTCATTTATTTCTTTTAGTTAATGAATTATTATTATTTATTTTTTTTTTGGGGATGAATTGTTAATTATACTACTTGCGGAGTTTATCAAAAAGAAACATTATCGGATACTGTCTTCTAGAATTAGTTATAAATATTAAAAATCAAACTCTAAAGGTACTTTATAGGCTAAATATTCGTGTTAGAACGCTAATTTTAACATTCGTTTTTGCTCCAAGTTACTTCAATTGAATTCGAACCAGAGATTTTTTAGACCAACAGTTTGCTTATTGGACATAGCTCGCTTACCATCTGTATCATTCCTTACTCCTTAGGATTATCTGAAGATTATTTTAACCAAATGCATATTTTTTTCTTCTTCTTTTGATTAATGACCCAAATGCAAATTCTAGAACGGGCTTAAAGTAATTTTGATTCTACATCAATTATTTAAAAGTGCTTTTCAGTGAAGACTGCGTACATATATGGAGAAAATGTTTGTCATCTTAAATGACACACATTTATGTCATTTTTAATGAAACTACGTCGTTTTGGTAAGTTTTTACATTCTCTCTTCTCCATTTTTTTTTTATTTCTAATTTTATAAATTAAAAAAATGACAAAACACACCAAAACGACGTAGTTTCATTAAAACTGACACAAAGTTGTGTCATTTAAAATGACAAACACTAAACCTTATATATATATATATATATATATATATATATATATATATATATATATATATATATATATTCTTACACCGTTGTTAGAGTTAAAAGTCTTACACTCAACCTAGACTATTGATTCACTTGTATTCAATGACTCACATTATTAAACAATTATATATATAGGGTCAGGATCATTTTACACAGTGTAAGTTACACTATCAATCTTGTCCGTTGATCTCACTTATATCTAAGGGCTCTAATTTTTTAGTAATGTGAGCCATTGGATACAAGTGGCTCAATGATCAAGATTAAGTATAAAACTTCTAACTCTTATACCGATGTAAGAATTTCCTGTCTCATATATATAATATTTAGAAAGCAAACTTTCAGAAAACAATAATATACAAGTAATTCAAAACCAGAAGCATTTTAACAAGGAGAAAAGAGAGCTAATAAAAGGGAAGTATTAGCCCTTTATTTCTCTCAGAGACAACAATTATTCTTCTTGAAATTTAGATAAGGGGGAAGGCTTTATTTTAAGAGGGCAATCCAGAATGGAGGGTAGTGTCCTAAGGTTAATCTAAAATGGAACATAAATCATGTTATTTTTAAGAGTTAGTTAGAATCTTACATAAACAATGGAAGAGACATGGCTACAATGAACATCCGCGGATATTCATGACCAACAATTATATATAACATGAACTTAAACTTCTGTGAATTTACCAAATATAGTTTGAAAGTTTCAAATAGTTAAGAGAAAAAGAAATTAGAGATTAAGATTTTCAAAGTTAGGTACTAGGATTATGAGGAACCAAGTACATGAGAGGATGACACTTCTTATAAAAATACTAACCCCTATTTATGTTAATATTAGATTTTAAATCCTGATTAAATAAAATAAATAAATCATACACTTCTCCTGTGCAGGAACCACTCTTGCTGGATTTGTCAGAATCTCAAAAGAAGACTCAGGCTCCGATTTCTTCTCTGGATGATCATCCACCTTCGAAACAATATCAGAAAACACTTCAAAATGCTATTTAAGTATACAAATACAATATAATACCATACATGTAACAAGCCATGTTTCTCACAACTCTGCATTGGTCATTAAAATGTCTCAACCATCAAAGTGTTATTTATGAAAACTTCTTCAACCATCAGAAACCACATATAAACAGAAACTTAGCATGTTTGGTTGGTAAACACAATGCAGAACTGAGGATGAAAACAAAAAAAGGAGCATAGATGGAGGCAGGGGCGAGACTCTGATAACATGTAAAGAACCTTGAGGTCATCACTCCAAAAGCTAGCTCAAAGGGTGGGAGTGCCCAAGGCCTTATAAACTCCATATTAGTTGCACATGCAACCTATCTCAACACACATCACTATCATTATTTATGAGCACCTCAACAGTAGTACTGCGCAGGCTATCCCGAATAAATTGTTTGATGCCCTCTCCATGGTTAGCATGAATAAGACCAAGGGCATAGAGAGCACCACCTTCTGAGAATGGACTACCACCACCACCTGTCCCACCCTGAGGCAAGTAAGGTGCCATCAGTGACCTTCCCTGCTGCAAATGGCCTCTATGGATAACACCAAGACCAGCTGTTGCACTAAATTTGGCCCAATTAGTCGCTCTGCTCAACCAATCCAAGAATCTCCAATGGAACAAAACCTTTTAAGAATTTTAAGCAATTAAAAACTAAGGGTGACCAAAAAGTAAAATATTACATAAAGGACACGAACAAACAATTATTACAACTGACCAGATTTTCCCTTAGGAAAGTATCCACAGTTGGCAAAACACTGTTTTATTGTCTGTGGAATTTTCCCTTAGAATTTTTATCGCACTGTGGCAGACACTGTTTCTCATCTCCACAGACTGCTTTATTGTCTTTAGAATAAGGAGGTCAGATCTGAATGCAAATTACATACAAGCAGTATAAGAACCAACATAATACCTCAAGGAGACTAAGTCAACAAGGAAATGATGAAGTAACAAAACATGACTAAAGAAATTGCCTCACTTGTTATGACTGTATAGGAACTGCAGAGTCAACTGTATTGAAGTTTCCCCAGACAAATCAAGACATAATCAAGACATAACAATATTATGTGTCATGGATAATCTCCATGCTCACCAAATAAACATAGTAAACAACAAGTCTCAACATAAAACTCCATAAACATAAACTGAAGCTATGAGCATATAAGCAACATGCATATCCAGCATCCAATCATGGCAGCATAATAGAACAGCAATCTAACTCAGCTCTGGCCTCCTGCCGCCGGAGGTCTCAACATTACCTGACCCTGAAATAAGCATTCCCCAAACGTGGGGTGAGATCTCTAAACAAGAAATCACGGTAAGACAAGGGGTCCTCAAGGATCTTCCACCCCAAGTTCACTTACATGTGCAATATAAGTTCTAAAAGCATTTATATCATTATCAGTTCCAAAACTATGTAGTGCAACAGATATCTATGGCATATGTGTCTATCACTATCTACTGGCCAGAGAAATGTAGGAATACGTCTATTCCCTAGATGTAGTACAAGAAACACCGCTTGCACCTCACCCACAGCCTCACCCTCTTGTATGTTCTACATACTCAGGCTTACCGTATAGGTGGAACACCTCCATGCATATCAACAAGGCACTAACATACAATAGCTCAACAACATTTCCAAAACATCAAAAGCATGTAACACAGCATGCATATACCATACCCCCGTGGGACATGGTGGAACCACAACATGGCTAAACCGAGGACACGAAAGCTTACCTCTACGCTAGCTATCCAATGCCACAAGCTCAAAGTCCAATCACAGCAGATCACAATCTAATATGGACTAAATATAAATCAATAAACATGTACCACATGCTGTGCAGATTCTGCAGGTTGGGATTTTGGTAACGAAAGGTGACCTCTAACATTTAGAAGAAAAGCTTGGTGCTCATTCTCCACCAAATCAAATGCTATTTGAAATGCCAAAAGAGCATCATCCTTGTCTTCAGAACGTAAAAGCTTTTCTAAGATGCTTGCAACACCATCTGGCTCATCCAAGAACATAAGACACTGACAAATGCTCATATAATCTGGCGAAGGCAGCTTTTGAAATACTTTAACAAGGAAGACGGAGAACCTGGATGGAAAGACCAATGATCAATCCAAGAAAATAAAATATCATAGTTGAAAAAGTCTTTTTGGCATTTATAAAGTACAAGTCATGCCACGTGCCAACACTTTGCCAGAAAAAATTTCATTGATTCCTACACTGTACGTGCAAGTACCACAAACATGTCATGCTTCCAAACCATATAACTATAAAGTATTATCTAAGAAAATTCAAGCTCCACAACTAATAAAAACACTATGCAAAATGCATTAAGAATAAACTTCTATATAAAAAGCATAACAGAAGGGGGCGAATCCAGGAAACAGTCTTTTTGCAATTATGCAAGGGTAAAGCTGCGTACAAGGATTACCTCCACCCCACACTCGCTAGTCGGGTTTAACGGGTAGTGGTTTTATAAAAAGCATCACAGACACAAACTGAACACCAAGAACATCTCCACAGTTTCATATAGAAGAAGGAATTCATTACAACAAGCAGAGGAAAATCACAAGGAATTTGGAGCATAAGAGATCTTCCATTGGAAAAATAAAACAACAAAGAAAAAGAAACATCACTAGACCAAAGCCGCTCAATCCCTCTGCATATCTACTTGGGAAATCCCCTTAAAAAGACCACATCATAAACACCAAACAGAAGCCAAATCTCCTAATACTATACCAAATCAGCCGCTGAGCAAAGAAACCTCTACATGCATGCTCCAACCAAATGCACCTACACCAAATTGTAGCATAGACTGCACATAACAACCTAGTCTCTTCTACCAAAACCACTAAATCTAGAAACTCAAAAATGGTTCAAGGACCTAGGATACAGCCAGCATTTACTTCTCCAGGTCTCCTGTGGCCTCTCACTGTCTCTGGTGACTTTTCTCTATTTGCTGGTTTAACTCTCTGTCACGCTCACTCTGTTTCTTTGAATTTTTTCAAATCATAGAGTTACTTGAAACTCCAAAATACCCCTCAAGCTCAACAAGAGTACCCACCTCTGCCCTTTTAGCTCTAGCAATACCATAGGATTTCAATGGTATTGCTAGAGCTATTTAACAACAATGTATTACGGATATATAATTATTACTTCATCTTAAATTCCTAACCCACAGTTTTCATAAAGCAGCTGCATGGTCATACCATAGCCAAATTTAAAGAGTTGTAAAAGATAAAGAAATATTTCCTATATGTCCTTAAATATTTCCTATATCTCCACAGTTTTCACAATGCACCTAAATGAGGAAAAGGCAACAAAAAGTGATGAAACCATAAGAAACAAGGTAAATTTTAATACCAGACCGACCACAAGAATGATTAAGGTTTACATACTTATCCAACATTCTCTCCACAATTGCTTCCAACCTAGAATCCACCTTGAGAGATTCATCACTTGACTCAGCTGCCTTAGACTTAAAACTAGCATATTCATCTATAGCTTTAGCTGATGATAAAAAACAAAAACAAAACACAAAAATGTCCTTGAGAACTTATCATGATTTTACAGAAACTCAAAATCAAGTTATAATAATAATAATAATAATAATAATAATACCAATTTCAGTTTATTAAGATGAAAGAAATCAAACTCTAACACCAAATGAACCCAAATGATCACACTAAATCCTATTTTCATAGTGAGCAAAGTGATGCCCTTAGCAAGGTCTTGATACCACACCTTGATCAAATAGCATTACGCAAATAAATTAAACTGTATCATAACTCTTACCAAGAATGGTATGCACATAGTCAGAATCGTCTGAATCATCAAATGGAGGACCAGCTCCAAGGGCATAAGACAATGAATCATTAAGTTCACCCAAGTAATAAAAGACCTGAAGATCAAAAGTTAAAACATTAGATCTAAAAAACAAAGCATCAAACCAACTTCAGTATCTAAAAATTAAAAACTGTATGGAAGTGAGAAAACATCTGCCCCTCAGATACAATGCTCATAAATATTAAAAGGTGTAAAACTGATACATATTTCCCGCATCTCAAATATTGCAAATATCAACATCATCAACACCTTTAACCCAAACTAGTTGAGATCTCAAACATTGCAAACTAGTGAACAATTTCCTATACTTTCATTCATTCTTTCTTCCTCTAAGTTAATTTGACACTAAGTTAACAACCAAGCTATTTAAAGGAAATGGCTTCATTAAGCAAAGACGACAGCACACAAATTTTCAATAGCAAAATTCCAGCTTATCAGTTAACTGAACAATACCTTTGATACAAGAAGTGCTGCAAGTTTCCTTTGATGATGATCAAACTCCTCGTCTTCATACAAACTCTCTCTGTTCACCACTATCCTTTTCTCATGCAATTCCCTTTATATTGTTTCTATTTGGTTGCTAGACAGTTGAGTGTCATTCAATATTACTACTCAGGAATTACGAATTTTGTTACTATGTGTACTCCAACACCAAATTGACAACTGGACGTTGAATTTTATTGTACTAGTAGTAGTGAAAATGTAAATATATGGTTTATGGGAGTAGATTCTTTTATATTCTATTTAATATGATTTTACATGGAGAATTATAATTATATAAAGATAAATTAATAATAAAAAGGGAAGAGAAAAAAAAAATATTATTCACTTTTGTGGGAACATGAATATTAGGGTTGGCAAAACGGGCCAATCTGGCTCGATCCGACCCAACCCGCATTCAACACGAAAAAAACGAGTCGAGTTAGGATTGGCTTGAGAAAAAAAACGAGCCAGAAAATTCAACCCGACCCAAGTCGAGTTAGGGTTGGCTAAAAAATATGGCTCGTGGGTTAGCTTAAAAAAATAGCTCGCGAGTTGGCTCGAAAATTGGCTCGCGAATTGGCTCGTTTTCAGCCTATTTAAACGACCATGTATTATTAATGCACCTGTTATGATGTGGCTTCCATTAACTTAAACAAATGGTTACAAAATGAGAAATAAAAGCAAAATATTTTAGTTTCGAATTTTCTTCACAACAAATTTGCATTAACATTCAGAAACAATCAGAACCACTTGCTACCAAGTGAGTAAGATATTTGAACCAAATAGAGCCAGCACAACCTAACAATATAAAAATGGCAGAGATGTGAGAAGATTAGGGACTTAGGTTTAGAGAAGGAAGAAAAATGATGACAACATGTGTCGGTTATGTCCATTTTTGTATATTATATTTTGTATTTTTTATAATAAAAAAAAACTCAACCTGCGAGCTGGCTCGTTTGACCCACGGGTTGGCTCATTTTTTCATGGGTTGAAACGAGCCGGGTTGGCAGCTCATTTTTGCCAACCCAACCCGGCTCATTTTTGATGGGTCACGAGCCAACCCTAATGAAAATTATGGTAGTATTGGTGTTAATAATCATTTTAACCTCGAGAAAAAATTCAATGTATTGGACATATTTATCTATAACATAACTCTTATACATAAATAGGATAACCTAATTTTTAATGATATTAAAATAGATTTGGACAAAAGAATCACAAAGATGAAGTGATAAAAATAAGATCAGGGTGAGTAGTTTAGAAAACTGCGGAGGAGATTTTTAACTTTTCCCTTAAATAAATAAGGGTTTTATAAGAGTTGTGTTATAGGAAAAGTAATTGTTACTATGGTTTTTTTTTTAATGCAGCGGGAGTACCTCTCCACTCAATGGCTTGTCGAAGGACCTCCTATATTTTAGAAGATTATGCTTAAATAGTTTTGATGATGTCAAAGCATGAAGAATTCAATTTGAAGATACTAAAGTTTCAGGTTAGATAATTTTCAGATTCTTTGTAACACATTAGATATATACTAAGCATGATTCCAAGCTCTATTGCATATCATTGTATTCCATTGCATAACATGTATTTAGCTATGTTGAGTGACTTATTAAAAAAATTAAATAAACAGGTTTTTAAAAATAAAATCTAAGTCAATTAAAATATGTTTTTATAAAAACCAAAAAGTAAAAGTAATAATAATAAAACAAAATCAAGTGTATATATATATATATATATATATATATATATATATATATATATATATATATATATATATATATATATCTTACTATATAGAAAGGAGAACCAAACTTTTGAAAATTAGCTGAGGTGTCGCATTCTCCTTAAATCTCAGCTTTCTGTTCACACTAGAGGATGTCTTGAAAACTTACTTCTTTTCCATGTAATGAACAAAATATGTATGTTTGAATTTCTGTTCACACTAGAGGATTCTTTCCGTTTTAATGTAAAAAAAACTTTTGAAAATTAGCTGAGGTGTCGCATTCTCCTTAATTCTCAGCTTTCTGTTCACACTAGAGGATGTCTTGAAAACTTACTTCTTTTCTATATAGTGAACAAAATATGTATGTTTGAATTTCTGTTCACACTAGAGGATTCTTTCCGTTTTAATGTAAAAATAGCTGAATCATTAAAACAGGTGGGTGATTTCATTTCAAAATTCAAAATTTTAAATCAGCTGACTCATTAGGTATTTTTGGGAGTTAATTAAGATCATAATGGTTAAAATATTTTGAAATTTTCTATGTATTCATTGCATGTATAAAGACGATATTTGGTGTTGCTTTTGCCTTTTGGTCTGTATGAAATAGCATCACGCAAATAAATTAAACTGTATCATAACTCTTACCAAGAATGGTATGCACATAGTCAGAATCGTCTGAATCATCAAATAGAGGACCAGCTCCAAGGGCATAAGACAATGAATCATTAAGTTCACCCAAGTAATAAAAGACCTGAAGATCAAAAGTTAAAACATTAGATCTAAAAAACAAAGCATCAAACCAACTTCAGTATCTAAAAATTAAAAACTGTATGGAAGTGAGAAAACATCTGCCCCTCAGATACAATGTTCATAAAAATTAAAAGGTGTAAAACTGATACATATTTCCCGCATCTCAAATATTGCAAATATCAACATCATCAACACCTTTAACCCAAACTAGTTGAGATCTCAAACATTGCAAACTAGTGAACAATTTCCTATACTTTCATTCATTCTTTCTTCCTCTAAGTTAATTTGACACTAAGTTAACAACCAAGCTATTTAAAGGAAATGGCTTCATTAAGCAAAGACGACAGCACACAAATTTTCAATAGCAAAATTCCAGCTTATCAGTTAACTGAACAATACCTTTGATACAAGAAGTGCTGCAAGTTTCCTTTGATGATGATCAAACTCCTCGTCTTCATACAAACTCTCTCTGCTCACCACTATACTTTCACTCATTTTTTCTATAAAACTAGCATTACTTTATGTTGAGCATGAATAAATATTTTCATATAAATATGTTGGAAAAAAAAGCAAGACTAAGAAAGAGGGAATTTACTCTTGTCCAACGGAATGCCATGGTTCCCAACCAGTAGGTTTTATAATGTTGGACATATAGGTGTTATAGAAAAGAACTCTAGCGTAATCTCTCCAAGGCCTTCCTAAGTAAGTTTTCCCATTTCCAAAATCCTTGCAATCTTTGAAAACAAAACCAGTTGCATCGTTTGGATTATTTCTCCCATGTGCTGTGATATAACCAGGCCTACCTGGACCCAGTGCCGCATCAATAACAGATATGGAACACCTCTGAAAAAAACAAACAAACTAATTATACATGGAATCATGGTTTTGCAAATCCGTAGTTTATCTAAAAAAACTACTCATACATAAATACAATTTTCTTGGCGAGACAGGAAGTTTGGGAACAAGGGCAAGGGTAAACAGTTGGCAGCTCGGCAGGCGCCGAATCAGTGCAAGAGGACTTCTGCTCAGGGGAGTGGAGCGAGACCTCCTGCTCCCAGGTGTTCGGGATGCGGGAAGACTCATTTTGGGTCGTGTTCTACCGGCCAGTTGATTTGCTTTCAGTGTGGCAAGGAGGGCCACTTCTCCAGAGATTGTCCGTCGGCGACGACGAGGGCTGCTGCAGTGCAGGCAGTGCCACTTCAGATGGTTCCCCTTCCACCTACTTCGGCACTGGTAGTGCCACCATCTTCTGGGAGAGTTTATACTCTGGATCGTCAGCAGTCGGATCGAGCTCCGAACCTTGTCAGAGGTACTGTTACGATTGGTTCATCAGCTGTTGATGTGTTATTTGACTCTTGGGCTACGCATTATTTTGTTGCTACCCCGATTGCTGTGGGGCTTGAGTTGCCCAGTGATGTGCTTTCTCCACCGATGCGGGTGACCACCGCCATCGGAGAAAGATGTGATGCTACCACTGTTCATCGCGATGTGGCGTTTTAGTGGGATGGCCGTGAATTCTCGGTAGATCTGATAGGGTTGCCGATGGCCAACTTAGAGGTTATTCTGGGCATGGATTGGCTGTCCAGAAATTGTGTGATGATTGATTGTTGTGCCAAGCGTGTAGTGTTGTCTCCGTGTGATTCCACAGCCAGTTCCTCGCCGTTCATTTCGTTGTTGCAGGCTAGGAGAGCCTTGAGAGTAGGGGCATTTGGTTATGTCATGTTGGGAGGTTTGGTAAGTGGTACACAGGAGGACATCACTGGCATTCCTATGGTGAGGGAGTTCCTCGAGGTGTTTCCTGAGGAGATTCCTGAGTTTCCGCCACAGAGGGAGATAGAGTTCTCCATAGATCTGTTGCCTGGTGTGGGGCCGATTTCTTTATCTCCATACCGGATGTCGCCACCGGAGTTGGAAGAGCTGAAGAAGCATATTGAGGATCTTTCAGCGAAAGACTTCATTAGATCGAGTGTGTCTCCTTGGGGAGCACCGGTTATCTTCGTGAAGAAGAAGGACGGGACAATGCGATTGTGCACCGACTACAGGTAGCTGAACAAGGTGACAATCAAGAACAAGTATCCTCTTCCTCGGATTGAGGATCTGTTGGATCAGCTCAGGGGTGCTTGTGTGTATTCCAAGATTGATCTCCGGTCCGGATACCATCAGATTCGGGTGAAGCCGGAGGATGTCTTGAAGACCGCATTTCGCTCGAGATATGGTCATTTTGAGTACTTGGTGATTCTGTTCGGTCTCACCAATGCACCTGCTGTGTTCATGGATTACATGAACCGGATTTTCTAGCCGTACCTAGATCAGTTTGTGATCGTCTTCATTGACGATATTTTGATTTACTCCAAGACGGAGGAGGAGCATGTGGAGCATTTGAGAACTGTTCTGCAAGTGCTAAAAGAGAAGAAGTTGTATGCGAAGCCTTCCAAATGTGAGTTCTGGCTCAAATCTGTGAAGTTCCTTGGGCATGTTATTTCTGCTGAGGGAGTTGCAGTGGATCCGAACAAGATTGAGGCCGTGCTGGATTGGGAGAGACCCAAGACAGTTACGGAAGTGAGGAGCTTTCTGGGTTTGGCAGGTTACTATCGGAGGTTCATCAAGGGATTCTCCACCATGGTTTTGCCATTGACTCGCCTTACTCGGAAGGAGACTCCATTTGTGTGGACTCACGAGTGTGAGGTCTGTTTTCAGGAGTTGAAGGAGAGACTGACTACTGCTCCTGTGTTGGTCCTTCCTGATCCTGCGCTTGAGATCGAGCTTTACACCGACGCCTCCGGGAAGGGGCTAGGTTGTGTGTTGATGCAGTTGGGCAAAGTGATCGCCTATGCTTCGAGGCAGTTGAAACCTCATGAGGAGAACTACCCTACTCATGACTTGGAGTTGGCTGCTATTGTGTTTGCTTTCAAGATTTGGAGGCATTATCTTTTTGGTTTGAGGTTTGTGGTGTTCAGTGACCACAAGAGTTTGAAGTACCTGTTCGACCAGAAAGAGTTGAACATGAGGCAGAGGAGATGGATGGAGTTCATAAAGGACTACGACTTCGAGCTAAGGTATCATCCTGGCAAGGCCAATGTGGTAGCTGATGCTTTGAGTCGGAAATCCAGTAGGTCATCCAGTTTGTTACTTGGTAACTTCGATGTGGTTGAGAAGTTCCGCAACTTGGCAGTGACCGCTCCGTGTGAGAGTGTACTTCTCGTATTGGAAGCATCCGATATTGTGAACGAGCTGCTTGAAAAGATTAAAGAGGCACAAGTTCAGAGAGAGTGTCTGGATTATGTGAAGAACCAAGACGGTGTGTCTTGGAATGATGATGGATTGCTTTTGTTCCAACGGAGGATTGTGGTTCCTCGAGGTCCGTTGACAGAAGAGGTTATGGCAGAAGGCCATAAAGGTCAGTTTTCTATCCACCCTGGTGCTACTAAGATGTATCAAGACTTGAAGAAAAACTTCTGGTGGCCGGGCATGAAGAAAGATGTTGCTATCTTTGTGTCCAAGTGTTTGGTTTTCCAGAAAGTGAAGATTGAACACCAGAAGCCGTCTGGTAAACTTCAACCTCTTGAGATTCCGGAGTGGAAATGGGAGAGCATTTCCATGGACTTCGTTGTGGGTCTGCCGAAGACTCAGGTTGGCTGTGACTCGATATGGGTCATTGTGGACAGACTGACGAAGTCCGCCCATTTTCTTCCAGTGAAGGTGAGCTTCACTACAGAGCAGTTGGCCAAGCTTTATGTCCGCGAGATTGTGAGGTTTCACGGGGTGCCCGAGAGTATCATTAGTGATAGGGACCCGAAGTTCACATCTCGGTTCTGGGAGGCGCTGCAGGAGGCTTTTGGTACGCAGTTGAGATTGAGTACCGCCTATCACCCTCAGACTAATGGATAGACTGAGAGGACCATCCAGACCTTGGAGGACATGTTGCGAACTTGCACGTTGGAGCAGGGCTCGACATGGGATAGGTACCTTCCGTTGGTTGAGTTTTCTTACAACAACAGCTTTCATGCTAGCCTGGGCATGGCGCCCTACGAAGCACTGTATGGTAGGAGGTGTCGGACTCCTACTTGTTGGTCTGAGGTTGGGGATAAGGAGCTTTTTGGCTTGGACTTTGTCCAAGATACCACCTTGCAGATTCAGATGATCCGTGAAAAGTTGAAGCAGGCGCAGAATCGCCAGAAGAGCTACTATGATGTCAAGCATCGTCCACTGGAGTTCAGTGAGGGTGAGCACGTGTTTGTGAGACTTTCACCTGTCACCGGTGTAGGTCGGGCACTCGGAGTGAGGAAGATGAGCCCGAGATATATTGGACCATACCAGATCCTTGGTAGAGTAGGACCTGTTGCCTACCGGCTTGCCTTGCCTCCGAACCTGGCTAACATCCATGACGTGTTTCACGTGTCTCAGCTTCGGAAGTACATAGCAGATCCGTTGCACGTGGTGCAACCGGATGATGTGGACGTTCGGGAGAACCTAAAGACTCCCGTCGGACCACTCAGAATTCTCGATCGTGGCGAGAAGCAGCTGAGGAGCAAGATCATTCCGATGGTCAAAGTGCAAGGGACCGGAAGGACTCCTGAGGAGTGTACTTGGGAGCGTGAGGACGAGCTTCTCCGGCAGTACCCCGAGTTTCGACCAGGTATGTTCTGATTTTGAAGTCAAAATCCTAAAAAGGTGGGGTGAATGTAAGAACCTGCACCGTTAATTAAGGTATTTAATTAATTAATTATGCAAAAATAAGAAATGATTCCATAATTGACCTTAATAATTATTTATGAGGCTTAATTAATTATGCAAAAATAAGAAATGATTCCATAATCCCGTAACACCTGCCGTAGCTGCGATGGTAACGGGCGACAAGTGTTACTTTTTTAGAGTATGTTTCTTTGGTATGCAAGACACTTTGTGGGACGAATTGGGAAGACATTACTACAAGCTTTGTACCATACAAGATGCTACTGATTTTATCTTTGGCAGAGGCCAGGCTTTATTTGAGGTAATACTAAAACTATTTATTTTACTCTTGTTCATGCTTATGCCTATGAACAAAATTAATTAATAGCATTTGTGTGCATGTTAAGATTTGAGTAATTAATTATTTTGAATATTATAAGCATTAGCAAAACCATGATTCTATAGTATAACTCATTTATTTATTTTGTTTTTGTAGAGTTGTGCCATATCTGTTATTGATGGGGCACTAGGTCCAGGTTTCCTTGGTTATATAACAGCTCAAGGGAGATCAAGTCCAAAAGATTCAAATGGTTTTGTTTTCAAAGATTGTAAGGTGTTTGGAACTGGGTCAATTTACTTGGGAAGGCCATGGAGAGATTACTCTAGAGTTCTCTTCTACAATACCTACATGTCCTCCATTGTACAACCTATTGGTTGGGATACATGGTATTCCAATGGACACGTGTAAGTTCACTTTTTCTTACTCTTGTTTTCTCAACAAAAGCTTAGTTATGTGACTACATTAATTCATGTTCAACATATAAAATAATGTTAGTTTAATATGTAGAACTTAACATAAAACTTTCTACTAGAAACACTTGAATTGTAAGGATATTTTATCCTTGGAAAAATAGTTTGTCATTTTAAAGGACTCAAGTTATGTCATTTTATTCTCTTCTAACTATGTATTTCAGGGAATTATAGTTATAATGTTAAAGTTGTATTTTTTCTCACTCTTCAGAAAAAAGTACAACTTTAATATTATAACGTATTTCCCAGAATATATAGTTATAAGGAGATAAAATGACTTAATTTAGATTTTTTAAAATGACAAAATGTTTTCCCTCTATCCTTTTATTGTAAAATAGAATCCAGGGTAATAAGGAAAAATTAATTTCTTCCTTTATTTAGAAAAAAAAAAAGTAGATGTGTTTTATGGAAATGGATCCTGTATCATTTAACATTATCACTTCATGTAGAAGAATCCTAATCATCAAAGAACAAATCAAATGTGAAAATTTTTGTAACTGCCTATTCATATATATTTTCTCTCACATCCCTTATCACTGTTGATTCACTTGTAGGATACTCTCATATCACATGATAATATTAAATAACAAATGAGAGGATTGACTCCCATTTTTACGTTACAAATGAAATTGATTATACCTAAAAGAAAAAAAACACTTTAATACATCTTTATTTGAAAATATTTGACATTATTTTCAATAATTTTTTTTTCTTTAAGAACACAACGCGTCAACGTTTTGTTTTGTTTTTTTTCCTTTTGTATGTCTTTTAATTTCTCTGCCAGGGGATTCATTTTTTGATATAAAAAATAGCAGGGATCGCGTAACGTTTGCTGAGTATGACAATTTTGGACCTGGTGCTAATACATCCAAGCGAGTGAATTGGACTAAGAAGTTGGGTTTATCAACAGTTAAGGAGTTAGCAAGTTTGAAATTCATTGACACTGAAGGATGGGTTGACAGATTAAGAATTATTGGTAGGGTTCCGAATAAATAAAAAAGAAAATTAAGAGTATCTTAAGCTGAAATAGCATGAGAAGAACCACGGTAGTTTGTGTTCATAACCACTGATTTCTTTCATTTAGTAATTTGTTTATCTCTTTTAGTTGTGATTCATTGATGACTTGGTCATTGGAGACTCTTATATTCCAATTACTCATTTATTTTTATTTAATAAGTTCTTTTGCTCTTTTTCTTTGTGATATCCATTGATGAGTTGTTTAGTTGAAGTTAGAGACTTCTTTTTCCAATTACTCATTGGAGCATTACCCAAAACTTCCTCTTGTGTAAGGTCTTTGTTTTTAGTGGCCTTTTGACGCGTCGTCCAAGCGTTGAAATCTATATGTGCCACACCCTTAATGCCACCAACTCTGAGAACTAGTAATTTATAATAATTCGATCACTCTGAAAACCAATAAAACAAAATATTGAAATCATTTCCAATGAGATAAAAAAATAAAACGGATTTATACAAAAAAAAAAACAGAAAATTGCTGAAATGAAACACTTCTCTCTTTCTTTTCTTCCTGCTGAATTGTGGAAATAAAACAATTATTGTATAAACAGAAGAACAAATTAAACTTATACAAGAAAGTTAGCTTGCAATCCACTGTCAATATTCATACATATTTATATTATTTTTTATTAACCAAAGTTCAGTTATCACGTGTAGTCTTTAGATTACTACTTTTGACTATGTATCTTAATGTCTGTTGCTCTTTGGCCCATTTGCAAGTGATCTTTAATCTCTATTTTTCAGGTGAAATTCAAAGTCAAATATTAAATCTGAATTTTATTTTCTCAAATTTTAAAGTCAATGATATGAATATCACCTAACATCACATTAATTCTCCCACGTTGGGACTTTTTAATTACTTTCCTATTGCCCTTAATTTTGCTTTAGGAACTCATCATTGGCATAAAGAATATATCGACACAAGGTGGAAGCAAATTAGAATAAAGTAATCACATGTCACAAAATTTGTATTATTTTTAAGAATTAATTATGATACCATGATTAAAGATTCGTTTCCTTATATGGCTCCCTTTCTGCTGTAATTACGCATTTTCCTTTTATATACCTTTTATTTTATTTTATTTTTTCCCTCCACACCATATGGAAATTTGTCTTTAAATACGGATTAATCTTTGCAGGTTTCAATCAAATGCAAAAAAGTTGTGCCTTGTCAGGGCTTGTGTGAGGGCTATTCCTTTTTCTTCTTGAAGCACTCCACACAAGACCTAATCTTTTTTCTTTGATCCATCATGATGAATCTTCGTTGGTGTTTCTTTGCTTGTCTCTTTCTCTTAGTGGGGTTGAAAGTAGATCTAGCTACTGCTCAGATTTACAGAAAAGTTGGAAAAAAATCCTCCCTTATTCCAAAATAGTTGTGGATCAATCAGGGCATGGAAACTTCTGTACCATTCAATCTTAATTAAAAATAATAAATAAATAAAAAATATTAATTTGTTATTAATGAAATGGGAGTTAGCTGAGCCGTGACGGCTTGTTAACCCCACACATTTTGTTTTGACTCATTTTTGCCGAGACGGCTTGATGATTCAAAATTAAATCAAATTTATCATAAAATTTACGATAACAAAAAAAAATAATATGAATATTATTATTCTTTTAAAAGAAAGGATTAGCTGAGTTGAGACAGTTTCCATGCCCTGAATATTATTATTATTATTTTTACCATGGATTATCAGAATCCTGATACGGCACATACAGAGGAGGATGTTAGAGACACAGAAGCAGCTGGTGTACAAAGTAGAAAGGCTAGGATTAAAGGTTGCCCATCTTGGGCAATAGATTACATTCACTAGTCATTGCTTATGACAGTCATCATGGGGAATTACGTTCCTGTATCTCAAATCAACCAAAGAAGTTTTTCTCTAAACCTTACACAGCAAGCACAATTGACAAGCCACTTGCGTTACCAGCTACAACCGAATTGCCAATAAAGAAGATGTCTCCGGATGCTTTACAAAAGAGGAGAGATTTGGGTTTATGCTATACATGTGATGAAAAATGGAATTCAAAACATAGGTGTAAGGCAAAAATGCTGTTGTTGATCGTTGATGAAGAGGAGCCATATGGTGAAGTGGATGAGGAGATTTTATGGCGAAAAGAAGAAACTCTAGGTAGTAGAGTGGATGCTACTTTACATTCTTTATTTGGGAAGATTGATGCTCGTTCTTTGATCCTGCTAGTTATGGTTGGCACTCGAGAAGTGCAAGTACTGGTTGACTCGGGCAGTTCCCATTGTTTTATACGAAGACAATTAGCTGAAAAGTTGAATTTACCAATGGTCAAGGATACTAGAATGAGAGTGTTTATGGGGAATGGAAAATTTTTAAGTTGTGAAAAGAAATGTCCTCAAGTGAAACTCCAGGTACAGGGCCATTGCTTTGCGGTAGATTTGTTTGTTGTGGATTTATGTGACCTGAACATAGTTCTAGGAATGAAATGGCTAATCACTTTGGGCCGTGTGACTCACAATTATGCTGAGCACTCAATGGAGTTTACTTGGAATAAGGAGTTGATTCTGCTAGATGGGTTGAAAACCAATTCTAGACAAATCACTGCAGATTCTAAGGGTGGTGATTTACATTTGTTAGAGACTTCCTGTCATGCACTTTCAGTTCCAGAGTTGCACAACATTGACTCTCAGGTACTTTCTGATCTTCATCTGTTGAAAGATAAAATTCCTGCTCTAGTTTGGAAAATTTTGTTTAGCTGGCAGCTTGTATTCGACATTCCCAAGTCCTTGCCTCCTTTTCGAGATAGAGCTCATGCCATCCAATTACTGGATGATTCAAAGCCTGTTAAGGTTAAGCCTTACAGGTATCCTTATCATCACAAAGCTGAAATAGAGAAGCAAGTTGGGGAATTATTATCTGTTGGATGGATTCAGCAGAGCCACAATGCCTTCTCATCTCCAGTGTTGTTGGTTAAGAAACATGATAACACATGGAGAATGTGTATTGATTATCGTGCTTTGAACTCCATGACAGTGAAGGATGCTTTTCCTATTCCCACAATAGATGAGCTATTGGATGAGCTTTATCATGCAAGGATATTCAGCAAATTGGACTTGCGTTCAGGGTACCATCAAATACGGATGCAACCGGAAGACATACATAAGACAGCCTTTCGAACTCATGAAGGGCACTATGAGTTTAAGGTCATGCCCTTTGGTCTCACCAACGCCCCAGCCACATTCCAAGCTGCCATGAATAGGATCTTTCGACCATATCTGAGGAAATTCATTGTGGTATTTTTTGATGATGTACTGATATACAGCCCTTCTTTGGAGGAGCATGTTACTCATTTGGAAACTGCACTCAAATGTTTGTTGCATAATTCCTTTTATGTTAAGCTTAGCAAGTGTGCGTTTGGTGTGGAGGAGCTTTCTTACCTTGGCCATGTAGTGACAGCTTGCGGGGTAAAGGATGATCCCAAGAAAATTGAGGCTATGCTTGATTGGCCAATTTCTCAATCTATCAAGCAATTGAGAGCATTTCTTGGCCTAACTGGATACTATAGAAGGTTTGTCAAAGGTTATGCTGCCATAGCTCACCCACTGACAGAATTGTTGAAGCAAGATAAGATTCATTGGAGTAAGGAGGCAGCTGTTGCATTCACGGCTTTGAAGGAAGCTATGGCATCTACACCAGTTTTACAGTTACCCGATTTCTCTTCACCCTTTATCGTGGAATCAGATGCTTCAAATGTGGGAATAAGTGTTGTGTTGTTACAAAGGGGTAAACCAATTTCCTTCTTCAGCAAAAAGTTGGGCCCAAGGATGGCAACTTCCTCTGCTTATGTCCGTGAACTATATGCTCTCACAGAAGCTATAAAACGTTGGCGTCATTTTCTGCTTGGCTCTCATTTTATTATTAGAACTGATCATCAAAGCTTAAAGGAATTGTTGCATCAAAATATTTAAACGGCAGACCAACAAAAATATGTGTACAAGTTGATGGGCTATAGTTTCACAATAGAATATAAATCCGGCATTTCCAATGTCGTGGCAGATGCTTTGTCTAGACAATTTTTTGAGGGAGATACAACTGTGATGCATGCACTGTGCTCAGAACCGACCTTGGATCTTTGGGAGCTGGTCAAGCAAGAGAACAAAATAAGCAAGGAGTTATTGGATATCCATACAGCCCTGGATAATGGCACGCTTAACAATCCTGACATTCTGCGCAGAGATGGTATGCTTTTTACCAATAACAGATGTTTGCTTAGTTCGAATTCTTCCCTTCGTCCCTCATTATTATATGAAGCTCATTGTACACCATTGGGAGGCCATGCTGGTATCCAACGCACTTTCTTGCGTTTATATGCTTCTTTTACTTGGAAAAATATGCGCAGGGATGTTAAACAGTTCATCCGTGATTGTTACCTGTCAGCACATTAAAAGTTCTACCCAAGTGCCATTTGGGTTATTACAACCATTGCCCATTCCTAATGCAATGTTTGATGACTTGACATTGGATTTTATAACATCTCTTCCTCGTTCAAATGGGTACACTACTATTCTGGTTGTGGTTGATAGATTGTCTAAGTATGGACACTTTGGGTCCCTCCCATCTTCTTACACAGCTGCTACTGTTGCCCAACTTTTCTGTGAATTGATTGTTAAGCTCCATGGATTTCCCAAGTCTTTGGTTTCAGACAGGGATGCAGTGTTCATGAGTAAGTTTTGGCGTCACCTATTTCAACTTAGTGGCACCAAATTACATGCGAGTTCTTCCTACCATCCTCAAACGGATGGCCAAACGGTAGTCACCAATCGTTATGTAGAACAATACTTACGGGCCTTTTGTTCTGAGCAGAATCATAAGTGGTCTCAATTGCTTTGTTGGGCAGAATTACATTACAATACTTCGGTCTATTCTTCCATTAACATGTCACCCTTTCAGGCTGTTTATGGGAAGTTACCAACTTTAATTCCTCGCTACCACCAAGGAGAGGTCAATATTGAAGCTGTCGATATGATGTTGCAACAGAGGTAAGAAGTGGTTGATCACCTGAAAGTGAATTTGGCTTGAGCTCAGGCCAGAATGAAACAACAAGCTGATAAACATAGGCAGGATAGGACATTTAAGGTAGGAGATAGAGTATTGGTTCGCCTACAACCATACAGACAGATGTCAGTAGAACGGCGAGCCAATCACAAGCTTGCCAAGCGCTATTTTGGCCCTTATATGGTTGAGAAAGTGATTAGTGCAGTAGCTTATAAACTGCAGTTACCTGAATCTAGTATGATACATCCAGTTTTTCATGTATCACTCTTGAAACCATTTTTTGGTTCTACGGATGTAAGTTGTGAGCCTCTTCCTGAATTAAGTAGGGACAACAGGCCAGTCCAACAACCTATAGCATTGCTGGCTTCACGGCATGTGCAGTTGCGAGGTAAACCACATCATCAGTACTTGGTTCAGTGGTCAGCTACAGTCCCAGAGGATGCCACTTGGGAAGATGCCACTGTTTTTCGTAGGACATACCCAACCCTCAACCTTGAGGACAAGGTTGTTGTCGAAGAGAGGGCTGATGTTAGAGACACAAAAGCAGCTAGTGTACAAAGCAGAAAGGCTAGGATTAAAGGTTGCCCATCTTGGGCAATAGATTACATTCACTAGTCATAGATTAATAATGTAGGAGTTGTATACATGTGAGTGACTCAATTAGTGGTCCTCCCACGTGGGTAGTTAGGCTTACGTGGCAATAGTTAGTTGAGACATATAAGTAATGCATGTTGTAACAGATGTCGATTCATTGTGAAATATAGAATACACTTGTTCTTCTTTACATATTTGGTGCTTCCTTCTGTTACAGAGAATTACTCTGTATCAAAGGAAATCCCTGAAGTTCATCAACTTTCCAGGTCACAATCTTCTGGATCTCATCAAAATCAACTACCTGACTTTCTTACCAATCCTTCTAATCCGTTTTTCTTACATCCGAATGAATCACCATCAGTAGTGTTGGTTTCGCCGTTGTTGAATGCCAGTAACTATCACACATGGGCCAGAGCAATGACAGTACCTCTCATCTCCAAAAACAAGATCGGATTCATCAATGGATCCATCATTCCACCGCTAGAAACAGATCCGAATTATTTTGCTTGGCAACGATGCAACAATATGGTAGTAGCTTGGATCCATAAGTCAACATCACAATCTATCGTGCAATCGATCATTTGGATAGAAGATGCTCAAGATGTATGGCTGGATCTGCGGAGAAGGTTCTCAAGATCAGATGTATTTCGCATCTCTGATCTTCAAGAGGAGATTTATAGAATACAGCAAGGAGACAAGAATGTTACTGAGTTTTTTACAGAATTGAAAACTCTGTGTGATGAACTTGATAACCTTAAACCAATACCAGTATGTAAATGCAACACATGTTGCTCTTGTGGAGGATATGCGAAGATGAGAGAATATAGAGAACGTGACCACATGATTCGGTTTCTAAAAGGTTTGAACGACCAGTACTGACAGGTAAGATCTCAAATCATGTTGATTGATCCATTACCTGATGTTACTCGAGCTTTTGTAATGATAGTTCAACAATAGCGTCAGTTTCAAGGAGAATTTCGATCAGCAAATCCTGTTAATGCTCAAGCCTTTGCTGTTATTGATGACCGTAACATGAATAAAAGAGTTTTTAATGGTCGTGGTTCATTTCCTGGTTTTAGAGGAAGAGGTAGAGGTCCAAATGGCAATTACAGTGGACAAAATTCATCATCTAATACGTATGGTGGCAGAGGCATCACCACCAGATTGTGTACACATTGTGGGAGATCGAATCATACAGTGGACACATGCTTTCATGTCCGTGGATTTCCACCAGGATTCAAAACCAGGAATGATGTTAATTCCAGCACAAATAATATAGCTCAGGACACACGAAGTGAGCAATCTGGTATTTCATTTTCTAATGATCAGTATCAACAACTTCTGAATCTTTTGGAAAGAAACACAGCCATTCCAAGTTCAATGCCACATGCCACGAATTTCACACAAGTGTCAAACATGAATACCAGCCTTATGCAGCAACCAGGTATTTCGAATGAGAAGTGGATACTGGATACTGGTGCTACTGATCATATTACATATATACAGTCTCATTTGTTACAGTTACAGAAAATTAAGCCTATTCGAATTAATTTGCCTAATGGTGATTGTGCTATGGCAACACATTGTGGAAACATTTCCTTATCTGCTAAACTCATTTTATATGATGTTCTTTATGTGCCTTGTTTCTGAGTGAACTTAATATCAGTCACAAAACTCCTAAACACTATTCCTTGTACCTTACAATTTTGTGGTTCTATGTGTCACATTCAGGAAGCACACTCCCAGGTGAGGATTGGTATAGCTGAGCAAAGGGATGGGTTGTATGTGATCAGTGGCAAGGCTGCTTCAACTGATCGCAAGACAGATTCAACAAATGGTTATAGTGCTATGAGTAGTTATACTTTGAATAAGGGTACTTCTGTTTTATGGCACCAAAGACTAGGACATATACCAGATTCTGTAATGAGAGAGATGTCATTAAAATTTCCCTTTTTCATAGTGCACACTGTTTTATATTCTTTGCTCCATTATGTGATTGATCCGTGAAGTGGATCTTTATGTTATATATTCATTTTCAAAGAGATGGGGATTAGAAGGAGGATGCGGCCAATTTGAAGAATTTGATGTGTCAGTGTATTCCTTTTGTATTCCAAACGAGGCCGGAGATTCTGTTTATAGTGTATGAGCAACTGTTTTCTTTCTTTCTCCTTTTTATTATTATTATTATTACTGTTTTTTGAGAGACATTCATTATACTGAGGTAGTCCAATAAAAGTTGGAATTGAATTTGATTTTTAGAATATATGAAAACTATCTCTCAATATTATTATTATTATTTTAAAATATGTTAAAGGATCTTAGATGATTTCATAAAATTGATTATTATATTTTATGATTTATTTATTTTATTTAATCAGGATTTAAAATCTAATATTAACATAAATAGGGGTTAGTATTTTTATAAGAAGTGGCATCCTCTCATGTACTTGGTTCGTCATAATCCTAGTACCTAACTTTGAAAATCTTAATCTCTAATTTCTTTTTCTCTTAACTATTTGAAACTTTCAAACTGTATTTGGTAAATTCACAGAAGTTTAAGTTCATGTTATATATAATTGTTGGTCATGAATATCCGCGGATGTTCATTGTAGCCATGTCTCTTCCATTGTTTATGTAAGATTCTAACTAACTCTTAAAAATAACATGATTTATGTTCCATTTTAGATTAACCTTAGGACACTACCCTCCATTCTGGATTGCCCTCTTAAAATAAAGCCTTCCCCCTTGTCTAAATTTCAAGAAGAATAATTGTTGTCTCTGAGAGAAATAAAGGGCTAATACTTCCCTTTTATTAGCTCTCTTTTCTCCTTGTTAAAATGCTTCTGGTTTAGAATTACTTGTATATTATTGTTTTCTGAAAGTTTGCTTTCTAAGTAATATATATATAGTCTTCACTGAAAAGTACTTTTAAATAATTGATGTAGAATCAAAATTACTTTAAGCCCGTTCTAGAATTTGCATTTGGGTCATTAATCAAAAGAAGAAGAAAAGAATATGCATTTGGTTAAAATAATCTTCAGATAATCCTAAGGAGTAAGGAATGATACAGATGGTAAGCGAGCAATGTCCAAGAAGCAAACTGTTGGGCTAAAAAATCTCTGGTTCGAATTAAAGTAAGTAACTTGGAGCAAAAACGAATTTTAAAATTAGCGTTCAAACACGAATATTTAGCCTATAAAGTACCTTTAGAGTTTGATTTTTAATATTTATAACTAGTTCTAGAAGACAGTATCCGATATTGTTTCTTTTTGATAAACTCCGCAAGTAGTATAATTAACAATTCATCCCCCAAAAAAATAAAAAATAAAATAATTCATTAACTAAAAGAAATAAATGATTCATGTATAAAAAAAAAAAAAAAAAATGATTAATTGGAATGAGTCTCTCCAACATTAATTAACAACTCGATCGTGAATATATCTCAAACAAAACAAAAAAAGTAAAACAAAATAAAAGAAACCAATGGTTATGGACCAGCTTTTTATTTAGCACTCAGGGGATTCAACATCATCTTTAGAAAACTCCAAAGCTGTTTATCCAGAAATGAAAGCTCCAAAGGTCGAAAGCCATCCTTCATCATCAATGAAATCCAAACTTGCCATCTTATTAATTGTTGATAAATCCAACTTCTTAGTCCAACTCACTCTCTTGGACGTGTCAGCACCAGGCCCAAAATTCTTATACTCAGCAAACGTTACGCGATCCCTGCAATTTGTATATCAAAACATTAATACCCTAGCAGAGAAAATAAAAGAAACCCCAATAGGAAAAAATTTAAAAAGACATAAGTTTTAATAGGAGAGGTTATATTGATAAGTTTTTTTTCTTACAAACTTACAAATTACACTAAGTCTGACCAGTCATATAACAATGTCTGACTGGTCAGACTTGGTTAATATAACAAACTCCAAGTTTAATATATTTCTATGCTTTTACAATTTAAGCGCTTCTAGTAGAAACTTTTACGTTAAGTTCTATAAAACTAGCATTATAGTATGTTGAGCATGAATAAATATTTTCATATAAATATGTTGGAAAAAAAAGCAAGACTAAGAAAGAGGGAATTTACTCTTGTCCAACGGAATGCCATGGTTCCCAACCAGTAGGTTTTATAATGTTGGACATATAGGTGTTATAGAAAAGAACTCTAGCGTAATCTCTCCAAGGCCTTCCTAAGTAAGTTTTCCCATTTCCAAAAACCTTGCAATCTTTGAAAACAAAACCAGTTGCATCGTTTGGATTATTTCTCCCATGTGCTGTGATATAACCAGGCCTACCTGGACCCAGTGCCGCATCAATAACAGATATGGAACACCTCTGAAAAAAATAAACAAACTAATTATACATAGAATCATGGTTTTGCAAATCCGTAGTTTATCTAAAAAAACTACTCATACATAAATACAATTTTCATAATAGGCATAAACATAAACTAAGAGATAAAGTAAGTTGGCTCAACTTCTTAGGTTGCTGTAAAAAAATTTCTTATATGCTATCAATTACAACTATGTATTATGAGTAGTACATTGTTATAATATTAAAAAAAATTATTCGCTACATCAATCGACAGACTTTTGAGGAGAGAAAAAAAAATAACTTTTAAAATTATAACTATATATTACCCTTAATACATAATTATAATTGACTATTATTACCTCAAACAAAGCATGGCCTGCACCAAAGATAAAATCAACAGCACCTTGTATGGTACAATACTTGTAGTAATGTCTTCCTGATTCGTCCCACAAAGTGTCTTGGAAACCAAAAAAGCCAACTCTATAAAAGTAAATTTTGTCACCGCATACCTTCGCCGCTACCGCAGGTGCCATGTCACTTGCCAAGTCATTAATTTTTAATGGATTGTTGTATGAATTCTGGTCAGAATAATGAGACAAATTTAAGAACTTTATCCCAACTCAATACTCTTAGGATTGATAACAAATAAAAAAGACTACAAAACTAAACATAGATTCTGTAACAAAAAAAAAAAGACCAATGCTTACCCAAAAAAAATCAAAAATCAAAAAGTGAAATGTTGAAATCCAAAAAAATAAAAAATATTAGGGGAAAAAATAATATAAAAGTTTCTACAAATAAGCTTCTGAAATATTAATTTCTGGACAATTCATATGTATCACTAAACTATAATAATTAGGAATTTAAAATTCATAGGTGTTACACAAGGTGGGACATACTACACATGAAAGATAGCATTATTTATAATTTGAAACATAAATAAATGAATTGCTATTATTATTATTTGAAAATGAGAAGCTTCAATCTAAAACATTGCCTTATTCTTAACAGTTGGACCTATTAATGAGGAGGATCATAATCAAATAATTAATTCTGTTACTCCTCATATGGGGGCCCCTCAGTTTGAAATTCCTCAGAAAATATGGACTAAATCCAAAAAGTCCAAAGATACCCCTAGGACTAATTCAACGGTTCCTACTATGCATGCGGCTCCTTCTTCAAGCACGGGTAAGAGGTGTCCAGTCCAGAGTGAAAATCGTGAAGATCATGCTCCCGTTCCACCATCTCCATCAATTGCTACTCCCATGGCGGTTAGTCCTATGCAAGCAAATCAACATGATCAGGAAAATGGGATGAAAGCAGATAGCACTTTGAACCAGAATCAAGAGCAGTTATATGGCACATTTCATAAAACTGGTCCTGATATATCAGTTGACAACAGCAGCGACATCCAAAATCCTGAAACCTCAACCATCTCTACGTGCATGGAGGTGGACAGAGTTCACCAGGAAGATATTTCAAGAATGAAGGATGCAAGAACCTTGGAGTCTTGCGTTCAACATAGTTTTTAATGAATTTATTCTTCTGAAACTGTAGGGGAGCAGTGAAACCCCAGTTTCAAAAATCGCTTTTTCTGTTTACTAGGAAATATAAGCCTAGTATTGTAGTGATTCTAGAACCTCGGTGTAGTGGTCAAAAAGCTTCTGACATTATCCGAAAATCTGGGTTTAAGCATGCTTTTGTTCAAGAGGCAGAAGGTTACTCAGGGGGTATTTGGATCCTCTGGAATGATGAGACTAGTCTCGTTGAAATTGTTAATCACACAAAACAGTTTGTTCATTTTAAAGTTCAGAATTTTCATGTTCCTTCCTTTTCTTGCACGGCAGTTTATGCGAGTCCTAGGGAAGAAAATAGAAAGGAGCTATGGGATGATCTGCTAAACATTAGTCTCCATTGTAATGGGCTGTGGTTGGTGGCTGGGGATTTTAATGAAATAGAAAATCATGATGAGAAGGAAGGTGGTTGAAGAGTTAACTTAAACAGATGTTCTAATTTTGCAAATGTTCTTCATAATTGCAAGCTGCTGGATCTTGGAGGATCGGGTCCTTGGTTTACATGGAAGGGTCCGAAGTTTCTTCATCTTGATCGTGTTTTTAAGAGGCTGGACCGAGCCTGTGCTAATGCAAGTTGGAAGACTACCTTTACTGATGCTGGCGTTAAGGTACTTCCACGGATTTATTCTGATCATAGTCCCATTTTGGTCTACTTGACTAACTTGGACACAGGTTGGAAAAATCGTCCCTTTCGCTTTGAGATTGCTTGGATGGAGCATTATAACTTTACTCAGTTTCTGGCTAGGAGCTGGAATGTTGTGAAAGACACTAGAACGAATCTGCATGATCTGACTCCAAATTTAAAAAGATGGAACAAGGTAGTCTTTGGCAACATTTTCAACAGGAAGACTAACCTATTGCATAGTATTGCAGAAATTCAGAATCATGTTGATTATCATACCAACTTATCTCTCCAATCTAGAGAAAAGGAGGTTAGGAAGGACCTTGATGCGGTTCTCATACAAGAAGAGATCTTATGGTTTCAAAAAGCCAGGGTGAAATGGATAAATGATGGGGATAGAAACACCAAATTCTATCACATTAAAACAGCTACTCGAAGAAGTTCGAATAGGATCCTTGAGTTAAAAAATTCTGATGGGATTTGGGTGAAGGAAGCTAGACAACTTCATCAATTGGTAACAGATTTCTATAGTAACTTGTTTAGTGAGGAAGTCCTTAATCGTGATTGGGCGAAAACAAAGACTACTTGGCCCCTTCTGCACGATGATCTGCTATCTAATCTGACTCGTAATCTTTCGGATGACGAAATTTCAAAAGCTGTTTTTAGTATCAATGGGTCAAAAGCTCCAGGGGAAGATGGTTTTCCAGCTGTCTTTTTTCATAAGAATTGGAGTCTTATTAAGACTAATGTTATTAAGGATGTTAACATGATGTTTCAGAATCCCAATCTGATTCACCTTGTGAACTCGACTCTTCTGGTCCTCATTCCAAAAGTAAAGAGACCTGAAAGTGCTAAGCAGCTCAGACCAATCTCTTTGTGCAATGTCATTTATAACTCAGTAAAATTCTGGTTAACAGAATGAATCCCCTAATGGAAGAGATGGTGTCTCCCTTCCAAGCTAGTTTTGTTCCTAAACGACATGTCCAGGACAACATCATCATCACCCAAGAGCTGATCCATTCAATGCGTAGAATGAGAGGAAGAAAATGTTTCATGGCAATTAAAATCGACTTGGAAAAGGCTTATGATATGTTAAATTGGGAGTTTGTTCGTAAAGTTTTGGATGAAATTCAAATCCCACACTGGTTCACAAATATTATCATGAATTGTATCAACTCTGATAAGGTCTCAGTACTTTGGAATGGAGCCATTGCAGGTGACTTCCTTCCTTCAAGAGGAGTTCGTCAGGGTGATCCTTTATCTCCCTACATTTTTGTTCTAGCCATGGAAAAATTGTCTCATCTCATTCAAGATGCGGTTGACAATAAGAGATGGAAGCCAATCTCTGTGGGATCAAAAGGTCCTAAGATAGCCCATCTGATGTTTGCTGATGATTTGATGCTGTTTGCAGAAGCTTCTCTAGATCAAATCAAAGTTATAGTGGATTGCTTGGAGACTTTTAGTTCAATGTCTGGCCTAAAGGTTAGTATTCCGAAATCTAGTATTTTTTTCTCGAAAAATACAGATGCTCACATTGCAGATGATATCACAAATGTGTGTGGCTTCAAGCAAACTCACAATATAGGGAGATATCTTGGGTCCATGATGAAACATGGTCGAGTAACCAAAGACCATTATTCTGATGTTGTTGCAAGAATTAGGCACAAGTTATCTGGTTGGAGTAACCAGGTCTTATCTTTTGCCGGTCGAATTACTCTTTCCAACTCCGTTATTTCAGCAACTCCTATATTTCAAATGCAACACAGTCTGCTTCCTGTAGCCATTTGTGATGAAATAGAGAAGTTGCAGCGTGCCTTTATTTGGGGTGATAAAGATGGTCAAAGGAGATCTCATTTGGTTGCATGGGATAATATTTGCAAGCCTAAGAGCATGGGTGGCTTAGGGGTGATTAACCTACGTGTCCAAAGTATGGCCTTCTTTCATAAGCTTGCATGGACGATTCTTGCCGTTGAAAAAGGCGTATTATAACATGCTTGGTTTCCCTCTCATGCCGTTGAAAAATTCTTGGACTACCATATGGAAATGGCATGGGCCTCAACGTGTTAAATCTTGTATGTGGATCATAATGCATGGCCGCCTTCTTACTAAAGACCGCACATCTAGATGGAGTGGGGAATCTGGTCATTGTAAAATGTGTCCTGGTGAGTTGGAAACAAATCTCCATGTTCTAATGCATGGTTTCCCTCTCATGCCGTTGAAAAATTCTTGGACTACCATATGGAAATGGCATGGGCCTCAACGTGTTAAATCTTGTATGTGGATCATAATGCATGGCCGCCTTCTTACTAAAGACCGCACATCTAGATGGAGTGGGGAATCTGGTCATTGTAAAATGTGTCCTGGTGAGTTGGAAACAAATCTCCATGTTCTAAGAGATTGTAAGCATGCTAGAAGTGTTTGGAATTCTCTGGTTTCAGCTAATTGGCAAAGCTTATTCTACAGCTTGGATCTTAGAGATTGGGTTGAAAATAATATCTCAAAAGCTTGGAATCAAAGTAATTCAGATGATTGGCGTGATGTCTTTTTTATCTCTTGCTGGTTCATTTGGGGATGGAGGAACAAAAGTGTCTATGATACTAACTTCAAGCATCCAACCCATGGAACGCACATAATTGCTATGTATATAGAGGAAGTTCGTAACTGCATGGGTAGGAAGGCTATGGCTACTACTAGCATTCATCCAACTCGTATGAGTTTATGGAAACCTCCAAGGCTAAATTGGGTGAAGATTAATATTGATGGGGCAGTTGAAAGGAATACTGAGGTGGCTGCTTGTGGTGGGATTATCAGATCTGATGATGGCTCTTGGTTGGGAGGCTTTGAGTATCATATTGGTGCTTGCACTCCTTTGATGGCGGAGCTTTGGGGAACTCTAAAAGGTCTGGAATTGGTTTGGCAACTGGGATTTAAGAAGGTGGAACTAGAAGGAGATGCTTCTGAAGTATTCTTTTTGCTTGCTGATTGCAATGCAGCTTGTCAGCCTCGTATAGTGGCTAAGATACAAGCACTCATCGGTCAGGATTGGGAGGTAACGTTTTCTCATATTCCAAGAGAAGCTAATTCCTGTGCAGATTGGTTAGCCAAGTCTGCTCTTCTCAAAGATACTGGATTCTGGAGTCATAGTGTTATGCCGTTTCACCTTGCTCAGTTATTTGATCACGATCTTCAGGGAATCTCCTCTTGTAGGGATATAGACCCTGGATAGTTATTTTTTGTTTCTGGTTGTTTGTTTGTTTTTGTTTGGGGTTTCGCCCCTTAATGTTATCAAAAAAAAAAAAAACATTGCCTTATTGACAGAGGTAAATGGAATTTTTAGTAAAAGATACATAAATGGTTATTATTAGAATTTAATTAAATATATCACACGATTCCCGCAGATAATTCAACAGTTAATATTATTTCATCACAGATTTAAATGAAACAGCAATTAGAATATTTCTCACCCTAAAACTCATGTATTTGACAAAAATATTGTCAGCCAGGAATTCGATCGTAGGACTTTCAGCGGTTGAAGCATGGTCATTCCCATCAACAATAGTGTTCCTATTTTTCTCTCCTACTAGTGCGATGTAAGGCTTGTCAAATGGAATTTTCACTTTTTCCCTGAAAAAAAACAAAACATACTTTGCTTAATCCATTAAGATTTGAAAGATAGATAGAATAATTGACAATCTCAATAATCTATCGTACTTAATTCATTAAGATCTTTTAATTATAATTTTTAAATCACAATCAACTAAATTATTTTTATCATCTCTTAAATAATTGGTCTTTTGACCATTTTAATGCTACTTAAAAAAACAAAGTACAAAATTGATGGAAAAGGAAATATATATATTTTTTGAAAAATAATGTAACAAGACATGCACAAGGAGTGTACGTTACTTGCACGTAAACAAATAATCATCAGCTACGTGATGCACTATGAATCACTCAAGAGATGTGCACAGTTTTCACTATTAAACTCCTCACGTATGCACCCCATGTTCGATATAAACTCGCACACCCTATACATATCTTGTTAAAATGTTTTGATAAAATGTATCAATTCTTAATAATTCATTTAAGAAATTGTATCAAAATGGTTAAAATGTCTAATTGATCATATTTTATTTTTTAATATATCTAGTTAGGATTGACAATGAAATTATTAAAATTTGAGACGCACATAATACAGTACATGATTTCCTATCTAATTAATAGAAGCTTTACCTGTAGATACCTGCCGTCACCTTGATCAAAACCCAACGTCTGTTATTGGAAGGAACTGAATCAATAGCAGATTGTATGGTAATGAAGTTTCCTTGCCCAGATGGATCCACAACTATTGTCTTGTAGGTGACGGGTTCATCTTCACCATTTAGGTAAAATCGAGCATTAGCTAGCTCTAGTTTCAAAGCCACCAAGAGAAAGAGACATGCAAAGTAGCACCAACGAAGAACCATGATGGATCAAATAGGAATCAAGCAATTTGAGGAGAGCTGGAAAAATTCAACCCTCACACAAAATTGACAAGGCACAGAATTTGATTGAAATATACAAAGATGAATCTGTATTTAAAAAGAAATGTGTACGTGCTTTGGAGGGAAGTTAAGAAAATCAAATGTTTATAAAAGGAAAATTCATAATTATAGGACAAGGGTGAGAGGGTGTACAATGAGCAGGATATTCAATCATAGTCATCATATTTAATTCTTAAATATAATACAAATTTTATGATTTAGATTAATTAAATGTTTCTATTTCAATCTTTGAAATTTTTCCTAAAATTGTCACACTTGCTTCTTTGCTTCCCCGTGATATGTTCACATTTTCATGTCAATGATAATTTTCTAAAGCGAAATTAAGGACGGCAATAAGGAAGCAATTAAAAGTCTGAATGTGAGCGAGTCAATGTGATATTAGCTGACAGTCATATAGTTGACTTCCAAATTTGAGAAAATAAAATTTAGAATAAAAAAGAATTTAAAGATTTGAAATAGCTAACATCTCCATCAGACACTTGCACTGACCCAAAAGCATAAAACATTTTGGCTTGTATGGTATCAGATTTGACTTGCTTTTTCTTTTTGTTAATATAAAATAATAAAAAAAGAGCATGGATGTCAAAGACAAAGATAAAGACAAACCTACCAAACAACTGCACGCGTCACCCTTACATCAAGACATACACATGAACCGCGGCACCTTTTGTGCATGTTGATATGGGAACAAAATAACAAAAAAAAAAAAAAAAACAATTTTATGTGCATTAAGAGTGTGTGTTGTATATCTTATTCCTTCAATAATAACACAAATTTTTAAACAAATTAACTTAGAATTTTACTATAAAATTATCAATTAATTTGTCAATGTTTTTAATTATGTTTTCATATACCACCAAGATTCAGTGTTACGATCATAACATTGATGATGATTATAATCGTAGCATTGATGATGATTATATAATCATCAATGTTATCATCGTAACAGTCATTAATGTTATGATTGTAAAATTGATGACTGTTACGATTAACGTTATAATCTTCAACAATTGTAATCATCATCAATGCTACAATTGTAATTATCATTAATGTTATGATTATAATTACCATGAATGTTACAATTGTAATCATCATCAATGTTTCGATCATAACATTCAGCTTTCAAAAATTAATAACTGTTACTTATGGGACATGTTATACTTACTATCTATTTTTTTTACTACTTCTTGCTACCAAATCTTAATCGTTGATTTCCGTCAATCTAACGGTTATAATTTATTAAAAATTAATAATTAATTAATAAGTATGATCTCATAAATTATAACCGTTAGATTGACAGAAATCAACGATTAAGATTTGGTAGTAAGAGGTAGTAAGTATAACCTTCCCCGTTAATTATATACTTATAGGGTTTTGCATCTCTCCTTTGACTGCAAAGTTTGAAAATTTGCAGCAGACATAAAAACATGGTGGGCCCCATCATTTTTAAAAATTAAAAAAAACATAAAAAAAAGAAAAAAAAAATGACGATGAGTGCGTGGCAGAAGGAAATCACTTCTGCAGTGGCAGCAGAAGTGATTTCCACATACTTATATACTACCAAAACACACACAATTTTGGCAAAGGGCTTGTATTTATAATTTTTTGGACAAATTTATATTTTGTATTAATTTGTTGAATACCTAATTAACTACTCTCGTTCACCAATAGTTTAGACAAATCTTTTAAAATCTTTCATTACATGCCAAAATAATCTGTCGATAATTGTGTTTATAATTAACTAGGATTTGAATGTTTTATAATTAACTAGGATTTGAATGTTTTATAATTAACTAGGATTTCATTACATGCATGCTGCAATCAACCTTAGCTTCATACGATGAACGTTATGTATACACATTCGTAGTAGACCGCATCAAAAAATTCATGGCAACACAAACAAAGAAACAAAAAAAATAGTTACCTGCAAATTTAAACGATTCAATTTTAGTGAAGAACAAGCCAATCACTCACATTACCGGATTGAAAAATGGAAATGCAGCAGATTTCAGTTCAACTAAACAAAACAAGAGTGAAAATGTGCCATTGGAATCGAAAACAGCAGAAACTGAAAATCGAATAGAAAATGAATTGATTTGAAGGTAACCTAATGAAGGATTATTAGCATAACAGCTCAGCAAGCGGATGTATCATCTGTAATGTACACACACTGCACTTGATCCCTCTCCCCATGCAGTTAGAGTTTGTTAGTCAAGTTTGTTAGTCAGTAGAGTTAGTTGCTTGCTGAGTCATCTCTTGAACTCTATAAATAGTCTTCTGTAACACAGTTTACAAAAATGATAGAATCTCTCCTTCTCAAATGAACTCTCCCTTCTCTCTTTTGTCCCGCTGCTCAAGTTCTTTTATGGTATCAGAGCCTTCTCCTTGAAGGCCTGATCCATATAGAACCTCATCATGTCTTCCGCAACTCATACTGAATCACCACAAACAAATCAGAAATCGCCTTCAGAAGCAAGCCAAAACACAAATATGGAGAATTGTGCAACAGAGATCAAAGCTCCACAATTATTCAATCAGCAGATCACAGTGAAGTTAACAGAGGAGAATTATCTTTTCTGGAATCAAATTGTAGAACCGATTATCACCTCTCATCAAATGCATCGCTTCGTGGTAAATCCTAAAATACCTCTTCAGTTTGTGTCAGAAGAAGATCTGATGAATGGAATCCAGAATCCAGCATATGTAGATTGGATAACTCAAGATTCGATGCTCCTCTCTTGGCTTCTGTCAACAATTTCTGAATCAGTGGTTAATGAAATTCTTGGTGTGAAGTATTCATACGAAGCATGGAGCAAGATTCACAGGCTCTTTCAAGGTATGATGAAGTCAAAAGCGAGGTTACTTCGGTCAGAACTTCATTCAATCAAAAAAGGCTCAAAGACGGTGAAGGAGTTCCTGTCACGTATTAAAGGTATTTGTGACTCACTTAAGGCTATAGGAAATCCAGTAAGTGATGAGGAACGAACTGATATTATCCTTGGAGGATTACCAGGCGAGTATGTAGCTTTTATTGCAACTGTTAATGGTAGAGAGAATCAGTATACTATCGAAGATCTAGGAATACAACTTCTAACACATGAACAAATCCTTGCAAAGCAAACTGAGTCACTGATCACATAGAATGCAACTGTCAATCTCACACTTCAGAACCACACAGCAGAAAAACAGAATGACACAGATAAAAACAGAACCAGTGACACCTCATTTGCTCCTACTGCACGTAATCAGGATCAAATCACAGGATACAATATATCCAATGCCAGTTATGGAGGTCGTTTCTATAGTCCTAGCAGAGGAAGAGGACGTTATGGAGGTCGTTTTAACCGAGGAAGAGGACGTGGAGAGCGTACCAATGTTCAATGCCAATTATGTTATAAGTTTGGTCATGATGTACATTCATGTTGGCACCGGTTTGATGAGAACTTCACACCTATTGCTCCTTCAAACAACACTGCTCAGTATTTTTCACCACAGTACTCTCAATATCCGAACAGTCAATCTCAACAGAATCGTGTATTTCATTACACTCGCGGCCAGAATAATCAACCTCATGCCATGATTGCTGCTCAACCTGGAATTTTGCCTACACCAACGACTGTTCCAGCACTTGATTGGTATCCAGATTCTGGTGCAACACACCATGTGACCTCCAATCCTCTCAACCTCATCCAAAGTCAGTAACTCAATGGTTCAGACCAAATCATGATTGGGAATGGTCAAGGTTTGGCAGTAACAGCTGTTGGTTCATCACTAGTTCCCTCTCCTTTTCACACTAACACACATTTACAGCTTAAAAATCTGTTAGTTGTGCCTTCGATCATGAAAAACCTTGTCAGTGTAAGTAAATTTGCACAAGACAATTCTGTGTACTTTGAATTTCACCCTACCTTTTGTCTTGTCAAATCTCAGGAATCTCATCAAGTCTTACTTGAAGGACAAGTTCATTCAAGTGGACTCTACAAATTTAATGACTTTCATCTTCATCAAGACCTCACTCGTGCCTCACAAATTGGTTCCAGTCATTCATTCAGTTCTCAAGTTTCATCAAATCCTGCAATCTCATTTTGCAATACAATTTCTGCAACTACTGCATTACCTGATTGTAATAATGTACACACAAATACTCCTCAGTCTCCTGAGATAGGTAGTTCCATGTTGTCAATGTGGCATTGTCGCCTTGGTCATCCACATAAGTATGCACTAAAGTCCGTACTCCATACATGCAATATACCTATTGTTAATAATAAAGCTCTTGAGTATTTCTGTTCTGCATGCTGTATTGGGAAAGCCCATCGATTACCTTCTTCACCTTCTACCACTGTGTATCATCAACCGTTTGAACTCGTATACAGTGATTTGTGGGGACCTGCCCCGGTTAAGTCTATGATGGGGTATCTTTATTACATATCATTTGTTGATGCACATACAAGGTTCACATGGATATACCCCTTAAAATCAAAATCAGAAGCTCTACCTACCTTTTAAAATTTTCATTCTCTCATCAAAACACAGTTTAATATGCCAATAAAGTCCATCCAAACAGATTGGGGTGGGGAATTTCGATCATTTAAACAGTTCCTTCTCATTCATGGTATCAACCATAGGGTAGCATGTCCTCACACTCACCATCAAAATGGTGTAGTTGAGAGAAAGCATCGCCACATTGTTGAAACAGGATTGACCATGCTGTCTCATGCATCTCTCCCATTAAAATATTGGGACTATGCCTTTATTTCTGCCGTGTACTTGATCAATCGGTTGCCCACTGCTACCTTAGACTTTGCTGTTCCTTTCACTCAGCTATATCACACTGCACCTGATTACAAATTCCTTAAGGTGTTTGGTTGTGCCTGTTTTCCCTTTCTTCGACCTTTTAACAAGCACAAATTAGATTTTCGCTC